CAGGGCACTTTATCCTCTCCACTGCCGCCTGCGTCCACCCGAGCTCCCCTCCACTGCCAGTGCCCCCATGGGCAGAGGGCGCCCTCCCCACCCCAGTCGCTGCCTGGCCATGCTGGGGAGATGCCCACCTTCTCCAGGGGCTTCGCTGCAAGTGACAGGCCTGACACCAGGTTTCTCCAGGAACTGCTTACAGCTCTTCCTGCTCAGCGCTCACCTCACCGCAACCACAACAGGTAACAAAATCCTGCGCTGGTTCCGGTGGGGGCCCGAGTGCTTCTGTTCACCAGCACTAGGGGTCTGGCCCACATCCCCCACAGCAAGGCGGGGGAACACAGAGGCACTCCGCCTGCAGGCCGCCCCCCGGGCCTTCCAAACTCTGCCAGTGCCCCCCGAGTGGGCCCGCTGGGCCCCCCCACACTCATTCCACAGCCCACAGCACGGGCCTTCGGGCTGGCGGTGGGTCGGGGCGCCCTGAGTGAGTTAAGGGGTGCGGAAGGCTGTGCACAGGGATTTCTGCTCCGACTTGAGCGGCACACAGAGGGCTCCGTGCGGATCCAAGGCAGGCCGGGAGAGCCAGCGGCAAGCCCAGCGGACTCTTCCAGAACCGCCGTCCCGCGGCAGCGGGAGTCGCTGCGAGGATGTGCCAAGGCCGGGGGTCCTGCAGGGCTGGGCAAAGGGCACGCTGGCCTCTGCCTCCCCTCGCGGGGCAGGGCGATACGCTGGCTCTTTCCCTTTTCCTTCATCTGCAGAAATCCCTCCAGGGAGGCCGAGGTGGAGGGAAGGGCCGGACAGGAAACAGGAAAAGGGGAGGCAGATGTGGGGGCAGGACCGGAGCTCGGAGGGAAGAGGGGGACCACGGCTGGGAGGGCAGGACGGAGAGGAGAGGGGCCGGGTTAGGGGGGTCCGCAGTGTGAGGCTGCCACGGCCACCGCCTTCCCTTGCTCGCCCCCCCAGCCCCTTCTCCCGCGTCCTGGACGTGACAGTCCTCGCTCTTCCCACCCCGTCCCTCCCAGCACCCCCAGGTCTCCTCCCACGAGTTGAGGGGCCAGAAACACCACGTGTCCCCCCGACGGCACCTGAAGGCAGAGCAGGGGAGTTGGGTCTGGACGGGTCCCTCCACTGAGAACGTCCGCAGGGAGCTCAACTTCATCGTAAAAATTAATCCGCATTTGTAGTTCGGTCTTAAGGTTTTTTATTGACTTTGCGTATTGTAAGATATGCTACACCACACATCCACAAGTGTGTGTGCAATGTGTTTGCGTGGTCTACAGAATAACATAAAAACCATCCGAAACACACCACTGTCCAGAAGCGGAGTCTGAGGCCAGGATCCCAGCCAAGGAGGTGATCCCTGGAGGCACAGGCAGGGCGGGTGGAGACCGGGACCCAGAGGACGCAGCCATGGAGGGGCCCTTCCGTGTCTCAGTACTAGCTCACCTGGAGAGCTGAGCTGGGGGCTCTGGCTGGCTGCACCTCAGAAAGAAAGTCCCCAGGCAAGAGCAGGAGATGTGGGCTGAGCCCTGAACCAGTTAGGCCCCAGGGTCCGGGGGAGACCCCAAAAGTGCTGCACCACCTACCTTGAGAAGTGGGACGTTCCATTCCCCGAGGGTCTCTCTCCACAGCTTCCTGCTAGAGCTTAGCCCCAGCGGTGTGGATCTCGCCTGCTGTTCAGTGCTGGTTTTCTGAGCTTCATAGAGAAGACCTCAGGCTATGTGTTCTATGACTACATTCTCCCCTTAATGTATTTCTGACATCCATTCATGGCAAGTTTCCCGGATCACTTAGGACACAGTCAGGAAAATGGAATCCGTAGCGAGAAGTTCAGTGGAGGGAGAGCAGGGCGGGGGCTGGACTCAAAGGCGTGGGAAGGCTGGAACACCAAGCGGGGGCTGCAGAGACAGCCACAGACAATAGCAGGAAGCTACCACTGTCTCCTGAGCTGGAGGGAGCAAGAGAGGAGGTGGTGCAACCAGAGCCAGGAGCTGGGCACCGCCAGGAACCCCGGCCGACTCCCAGGTGGGTGTTGGGACTACGGAGGAGACGCAGGAGAGGACACCGCGCTGTGGCACCCGGAGCAGAGGCCGTAGGAGAGGCACCGTGACTTCTGTTTCCCTCCTGCCTTCCAACCTCTCGCTGAGCCCTGCCATGGGCCAAAGCTGGTGGACAGCCCTTGGCAAGTGAGCCTGGGGACTGAAGTTTGCAGGTGCCAAGCGGAGTGGAGCAGGGAAGGTGTGGATCTGCCGGCACATCTGAAGTCCATGAAGTCCATTTCTGCCTCTGCACTGCATCCCGCTCCTGAGGACACTTGGCTGTTCCCAGTGTTTCTCCTATAAGCTTTGCTATGCGTGTCACCGGGGGCGTGTGTGCAAGCCTTTCTCTGAGTGTTGTCCAAATCTTCCGAGCACGCACGGTCCACAGCAAACTAGTGCACACACACAGCACGACAACCAATGACTATGAACCAACACTTACCCTTAGAGTGTGCAATGCTTCCTGGTATTTTCTATTCTAAAATTAAAAATGGATACATTTGGCTACATTTAAAAAAAAAAGAATTATTTGTCAAAGGACACAAAGTTAAAGGTGAAAAGAAAAGCCACAAATTGGGATGGTATTGGCCACAAGGCATTAGGGGCTGAGCCTGGGTTGCCGTTGACTATGGGGGTAGGGGCTGAGCTTGGATCCCTGTCGGTTGTGGGGTCAGAGGCTGAGCCTGGGTCCCAGTCGGCTGTGGGGTCGGAGGCTCAGCAGGCATTCTTAGGCTGTCTACCTCCGATCCCAGCTCTTGCCTTGTGGCCATGCAGGCTTGGGGAAAACGGCCTCCGCTCCGTGAACCCGGTCTCCAAAATGGGATCAGACCCTGGCCTACACTCTCTCCACTTCGGCTCCTGCAGGTCCCAGTGCTGAGATCCAGTGGATTATCAGGTTGGATCCCCACAGCTGGTTCAGGAGGCAAACACTGTTATCACAGCTGGTTCAGGAGGCAAACACTGTTATTACTGCCATTTTCAGATAAGGACAGACAGGTCAGAGGGGCGAGCGTCTGCCATGGTCCTTGCTGGCAAGTGGACATGGGCCAGGCAGGCCGGCTGCAGAGGCTGAGTGTGCCTCTCCCGCTTCACCACCCCTTGGTGTGAACTCCCTAGCTGTGAATTTAGAGGATGTCCTGGGTGGGTTCCCTGGAGACTCCAGCCTGAGAAAAGGGTTAAGTGCAGGAGCTTCATGGGCACTGTGATCCAGGGAGCAGGCGGAGAGCAGGGGACAGGCAGGGTGATGACGAGATGGGGCCCTAAGCTGACCGGCCTGGGGACCACTGGGTGTCCCATCCTCTTTCTAACATCGAAAGCTCTGCTTTTCACCTTTGGACTTCGCTGCCGGAACGAAGGGGCTCTCACATTTACAGAGACGCTTTCCAATCCCTTGGTAGAAGTTCATCCTTTTGATGAAGCTGTTTGCACATCTTTCAAGGCTCACTGTGGGCATTTCATGTTTCATGACTATTGTGAAGACATTTTTTCTATCATACTATATTAGTTACTGTTGATGTATAAGAAAACTATTGGTTTGTTTTGACGTTCACCTTGCCCATGCCCATCATCCCCAACTTTTATTTATTCTGGTATCTTTGCCGTGTTCTGGCTGATTTCTCTCGGAGTTTCTAGATGGACAAATAACTGTCATCTGCAAATAACATCTTATTCTTCATCTCATTCCTTATCTGATCACATCATCTAGGATCTCAAGAAGTATCGAGCGTTTGTTCTTACCAAATTTTATCCTTTTGTTTTTGGTGATTTTAAAAGGAATGCAAAATATTTCACAATCTATTTTAAATATCTGGGAGATAACTTTTATCAAGTTAAGAATGCATGCTGGCCAGGCACGGTGGTTCACACCTATAATCCCAGCACTTTGGGAGGCTGAGGTGTGCAGATCACTTGAGCGCAGGAGTTCAAGACCAGCCTGGGCAGCATGGCGAAACCCTATTTCTACAAAAAATACAAAAATTAGCTGGGCATGGTGGCACGTGCCTGTAGTCCCAGCTACTCTGGGGGCTGAGGCAAGAGGATTGCTTGAGCCCAGGAATTCAAGGTTGCAGGGAGCCACGATTACACCACTGCACTCCAGCCTCGATGACGGTGAGACCTTATCTCAAAAAAGAAAGAAAAGAAAAGAGAAAAAGAAAGCATGCTTTGCCCCATAGCAAAAGAGTTTTTATCATCAAGTGTTGAATTTTATTAAATATCTTGGAATTTATTGATGCATCCCATGGCTTTCTGTTCTGAACTAGTAAAACAGTGACTTGTGGTCACAGATGTCCTAATATTGACCCATCTTTATATTTCTGAATGTGTTGTTGTTGGTAAATACACAGACGAGTTCCATGTGATGGGATTCTGAGACTCTGTATGTCTAGGGAAGACTAGTCTCTGTGTGATGTATGACGAATTGGAAAATGCCCCAGTTTTTCTATGATCTGTAAGAATAACTTTGAATGGTGGTGTGTGTGTGTGTGTGTGTGTGTGTGTGTGTTTTGATACAGGGTCTTGCTCTGTTGCCCAGGTTGGAGTACAGTGGCATGATCTCAGCTCACTGCAACCTCTGTCTCCCAGGTTCAAGCAATTCTCCCGCCTCAGCCTCCCAAGTAGCTGGGATTATAGGTGCGTGGCGTGCCACCATGCCTGGCTAATGTTTGTATTTTAAGTAGAGATGGAATTTTGCCACACTGGCCAGGCTGGTCTCGAACTCCTGGACTCAAGTGATCCGCCCGTCTCGACCTCCCAAAGTACTGGGATTACAGGCATGAGCCATCGCCCCCCAGCCCACTTTGAATGTTTTTGACCACTAAACAGTAAGGGTTTTGTGTGCAAAGGATCATTAACTGTGTGCACTTAGGCATCTGTCTCCTCCCACGCAACCGTGACATTTGTGAGGCTCAGCCCTGCTGTCTGACCTTCCTCCTTATTGCCGAAGGTCACCGCATTCTGTTAAACAACCACCTTCTCCATTCGACTGCTGAGGGACACTGGGCTATTTCTGGTTCAGACTGTGATGAATGGTGCTCTGTGAAGGTTCCTGGCACGTGTTTTTAGAACATATGCAGCAGTATCTGTGGGGCGCATTCCCAGGAGAGGACCTCTCGTCAGATGCACGCATGTTCCACTTTATCAGAGGGGCCACTTCTCCAAAGAGACTGTACAATTTATGCTCCCACCAGCAGCATGGGGGTGCTCCACCCGGTTCTTATCCCCTCCGAGAGCTGGTGTTGTCTGATGCGTGCTTTTTAGCCGATTCTGGGAGGTGAGTAAAAGATTAACATAGCCTTCTCTCATCAATATGGACAAGTTAATACTGGTTTAATTTTCCAGCTACGGTTCCCTGAAAGTCTGATCAAGACAGAATGTCACTCAGGAAATAACCCCTGATGGACGCATTGCACCTAAATGTGCAGATCTTTGCAGGTACTAGAAATATCTGCTAGGGGCACCCTTGATTTCGGTTCCCCAAGTGCAGTGACCTGCTTCTGGGTGTGTTCCTTGGTGTGCACCACACTGACCCCTCTGGAGCTGAGCTAGAGACGGAACCGTAGGCCAGGTGGCTTCACCCATCCACATGGGTCTTGCTCTCCCACATCCCAGCTGTCACTTGGTGGTGGGGGGGCCAGAGAAGAGGAGGCACCTTTGCTGAAAACCAATTGATCATATACACACGAATCTATTTCTGGACTCTATTCTGTTGTATTGGTCTGTATTTGTTTCCTTTTGCAAACTACACTGTTTTGATGACTGCAGCTTTAAAATAAACTATCGAAGACAGGGAGTAGCATTCTTCCACTCGTTCTTCCTTTTTCAACCTTGTTTTGGCTATTCTTGTTCCTTTGGATTTTTATACAGAGTTTGTAATCAGCTTGCTAATACTTACCAAAAAACTGCTAGCATGTAGCTTGTAATTGTGTTGTATTTATACATAATTTAGGGACAATTGACATGTTCATGATATTGAACCTTCTGATCAAGAATCTTCTGAGTCTTCATGTTCCCTGCTGTGGTGTAAGTATTGCTTTTGGTTTCATTTATAATTTTTCACAGCTAGTACATAGAAACACAGCCAGTTGTTCTGTGTTGCCCTTATGTCCTGAAACCTTGCTAAATTCACTTATTAATTCTAAAAGTTTGTGTATAGTTTCCTTAGGATTTCCTAGACACAATCATGTCATGTGCGAATAACACTTTTTTATTTCTTCTTTTCCAATCTTTACTCCTTTATTTCTTTTTCTTGCCTAATTAAACTAAGATTTCCCATGCAATATCATAAAGAAATGTTGAAAGCAGCATCCTTTTTTTGTTCCTTATCTTGGGAGAAAGTATTTCGTTTTTCAATACTAAGTATAAAGTTATGCTCTTTACCAGGCTGAGAAAATTCCCTTCTATTCTTAACTTCCTGAACTTTTTAAAGAATGAATGGGCGTTTAATTTTGCCGTATTCTTTTCCTGTAGATGATGTATTCTTTGTAGGGAGATGATCCCATGACTTTTTTCAATTATTCTACTAATACAGTGAATTACATTGACTGACTTTTGAATGTTAAACCAACCTTGCATCCCTGAGATGGCACCTGCTGCTCAGGATTGTGATGATCCTTTCTCTGCAGTACTGGGTTTTCTCTGCTAACATTTTGTGAAGGATTTTTGCAGGATATTGATCTGCAGTTTTCTTTTCTTGCAGTGTCTCTGTGTGGTATCAGAGTAATAGAGGCCTCGTGAAATGAATTGGGAAGTTTCCCTTTCTCCTCTGTGTTCTAAAAGAGCTTCTGTAATTTGTAATTATTCCTTCAATAAATATTTTATAATATTTAGCAGTGAAGACATCTAGGCTAGGGGTTTTCTTCCTAAATGGCTTTTAATTATGAGTTTAATTTCTTCAACAGATGTGAAGCTGTTCAGTTTTTTAAATTAAAATTGTTCACAAATGGTATTTTATAAATTCTCTATTTTCACCAGTAGCATTTATTATCATTTTTATTTTTTAAGAGACAGGGTCTCACTCTGTCGCCCCGGCTGGAGTGCAGTGGTGTGATCATAGCTCTCTGTAACATTGAACTCCTGAGCTCAGACGATCATCCCGCTTTGACCTCCCAAAGCTCTGGTATTGCTGGCGTGGGACTCTGTGCCTGGCCTATCTTTTTAGTATCTGCAGGATCTCTCCTTCTTCTATTCTTTCATTCTTGATATTGGAAATTTATGTCAGTACCCTTTAAAAAAAATCAGTCTGGGCTGGGTGCAGTGGTTCACATCTGTAATCTCTGCACTTCGGGAGGCCAAGGTGGGTGGATCACTTGAGGTCAGCAATTCCAGGCCAGCCTGGCCAACATGATGAAAACCCATCTCTACTAAAAATACAAAAATTAGCTGGGCATGGTGGCTGACGCCTATAATCCCAGCTACTCAGGAGGCTGAGGCAGGAGAATCACTTGAATCCAGGAGGTAGAGGCTGCAGTGAGCCGAGATCGCGTCATTGCATTCCAGCCTGGGCAACACAGTGAGACTCTATTAAAAATAATAATAATAAAATAAATTCAGTCCAGACAGAATTTCCAGAAGACAAAACAAAACAAGAAACAGCCAGCTTTTGACTTCAATAATTTTTCACTACTGTTTTGGTCTGCTTCCTATTTTTCATTAATTTCAGTTCTGATATTTATTACTTCGTTTGTGCTTAATTTGCTTTTTTCCTGGCTTCTTCAGTTGGAGGCTTGGGTCATTTCTTTGCACTCCTTCTTTTCCACATTCACTGCTATAAATTTCCCGTTAAGTGCTGCATTAGCTTTTCCCCAGAAATGTGGATATGCTGTTATTTTCAATTAACTAAACAAAGTTTTAATTGTCTCCCAAGAGTCATATGATTTATTGAGAAATGTGTTGTTTAAAATTTCCAAATATGTTGGGACTTTCCAGATAACTATTTTTTATTTCTTCCGTAACTCTGCTATGCCCTAAAAGCATACTTTGTAGGATTTGTATTTTTAAAAATGTGTTAAGATGCATCTTATGGCCCAGGATATGGTCTCTCTTGGTGACGTCCATACATGTTTGAGAAGAACATTCTAAGCTGTTGTTGGGTGTGTGTTCTATGAACACCAGTCAGTTCTAGAAGCCGGATAGTGTCACTCGTGCCCTCTGCATCCTTACTGATTTTTCTGTCCATGTGTCTGACAATTACTGAGAGAAGAGAGATGAAGTTTTAAAGCATAGCAGGTTCTGTATTTCTCCTTCCAGTTTGATGGGTTTTTCTTCATGGTTTTTTTTTTTTTTTTGAGACGGAGTCTCACTCTGTCGCCCAGGCTGGAGTGCAGTGGTGTGATCTTGGCTCACTGCAAGCTCCGCCTCCTGGATTCACGCCATTCTCCTGCCTCAGCCTCCTGAGTAGCTGGGACTACAGGCGCCCGCCACCTCGCCTGGTTAATTTTTTGTATTTTTAGTAGAGACGGGGTTTCACCGTGTTAGCCAGGATGGTCTCAATCTCCTGACCTCGTGATCCGCCCATCTTGGCCTCCCAAAGTGCTGGGATTACAGGCGTGAGCCACCACACCCGGCCTTCTTCATGGGTTTTGAAGCCCTGTTGTTTGGTACATGATCATGTATGATTGCGATGTCTTCTTAGAGCACTGACACTCATTATTATGCAAAGTCCCTCATCAGCCATGCTGATGCTCCTTCTAGATCTACATCTACATCCATGTAGATGTTGAAATGTATTTGTCGGAGATGAAGACAGCGACTCTGCCTTTCTTTTGGCTGGTGTTTGAATGGTGTATTATGCTTAACTCTGTATATGTCTTCAGATTTAAAGTGCATTTCTTGTAGACACAATGTAGTTGAATCCTGCTTTTTAAAATCCTGTCCGACAATCTATCTTTTAACTGGTATGGCTAGAACATTCACATTTAATAGGATTATTGATACAACTGGATTACAAGCTACCATTTTGTCACGTGTTTTCTATTTGTTACATCTGTTTTTTGCTTCTTTTGCTCGCTTTTCTGCCTTCTCTTGGTTAACTGAGCAATACTTTATCATTCCATTTTATGCCCTCTCGTCCTATAACTTACACGTCTTTTAGAAAATTGTACTCACTGTCCCAGGGTTAAGTCTTAAAGTAATCAGAGTTTATCTTCAGATAGTGAGACTGCTTCCCGTATAGTGTAAGGACCTAACAGCGGTGTTTTCCCAACTCTTCCCTTCCATACTCTGTAAATTATCATCACACACTTTACCTTGGAGCATGTTATCAACACAGTACGACGTTACCATTTTCCCTTGAAATAGTTGTAATTTGCAGCAATTAAAATTTTTTTAAAATTTTCATTTTCCTTTCATCCTTTTCTATATTGTTCTTCATGTCTGAAATAAATAATGTATACAGTGGTCCATTTCCAAGACAAAGTGCCTTGAATTGGCTTAGGTGAGCAAACTACAGAAGGAACAGGATATCCTAGGCCCCAGCTCAGATAGCCAACGCCTGTTTGTTGGCCTCCCTTCCTCCCTTAATTTTTAAAAGTTATTTTCACTGGTAAAGAATTCTGAATCAGGCCGGGCATGGTGGCTCATGCCTGTAATCCCAGCACTTTGGGAGGCTGAGGCAGGTGGATCACGAAGTCAGGAGATCGAGACCATCCTGGCTAACATGGTGAAACCCCATCTCTACTAAAAATACAAAAAATTAGCCAGGCATGGTGGCCAGTGCCTGAGTCCCAGCTACTCAGGAGGCTGAGGCAGGAGAATGGTGTGAACCCGGTAGGCAGAGCTTGCAGTGAGCAGAGATTGTGCCACTGAACTCCAGCCCAGCTGACAGAGAGACTCCACCTCAACAACAACAAAAAAAAAAGAATTCTGAATCGGTACTTTTTTCCCTTTCGGTACTAGAAAGCCATCCCTCCATCGTCATCCACCTTGCATAGTGTCTGCAGATAGTTCTGCTGTGCTTCTATCTTTGTCTCTCTCACGTCTCACGTGTCCCTCTACCTCCCTTCTCCTCCCAGTTGCCTTAGAGAGTTTCTGTATGTCTTTTTTCCTCAGCAGCTTGAATATGCACAGGTTTCTGTGCTTGTTTTTGTTTCTGTTCTGTTTTGTTTGTTTGTTTTACTTTTTTGGCATTTGTCTCTGAGTTTCATTAATCTGTGCTTTGATGTCTGCCATTGATTTTGGAAAATTATTAACCATTATGTCTTCAAATATTCCTTCCATACCCCCTCACCATCTGTGATTCCAAGTGTGTGTATGTTAAACTGCTTGATAACATCTTGTAATCCCTTGGAGACATGCTCTATGTTTACCCATTCCTTTTATCTCTTTGGTTTTCCATTTGGATGATTTCTGTAGAGCTGTTTTCAAATTTACCAATTTCTTTGGCTAGGTCGAGTTTACTGACAAGCTTCTCAAAGCCATTTTTCATCTCTTTTACTGTGTTTTCATTTTTAGCATTTTCATTTCTTTCTTTCTCACAGTTTCTTTCTCTTTTTAAGATAGTATGTTATTTTAAGCAAAGAAATGGAAATAAGCTAAGTCTCCGTAATGGTGAAGAATTGATTAACTCTCGTTATTAATTAATAACTCTCATTAATTTTAGGGAGACTTAGTTAGTTTCATTTCAATCATTTACATAAATGTATTCATCCTGACATAGAAAGAGCTAGAACATAAATTGAGCTTTTAAAACAAGCTTCAAAACCATGGATATTATCTCATGTATGCTTTATTTTTAAACTTCCACAAAGCAACATAATATTTCTAGAGTAACAAATATCTACAAAATGCTTTTTGTAAAACAGCCTGGAAGGACAACCCACAGAAGACGATAGGGTTCGGTTTGGCAGGAGGTGGCAATGGGAGTCCAGCTTTACTGGTCACAGGTGGAGTTTTCTCAGTGAGGTTGTGTCCTGCGTGAGTTGTGTGTCTTCAGATGACTCACCCTGTGATTGCGTGGATGGTGTGACAGGAGAGGGAGCACAAAGGGCCCCGACAGGTGCAGGTGGAGGCCTGGGAGGCTGTGGTGGGTTCATGCCAGCACCTCCCTGGGACTGCACACTCCCAGTCATCTGTCTCAGACATGCCAGGCTCAAGTTCCTCCCCACGTCTGGTCCTTCCATCTAAACACATGTATTCAGCATCTGCATCCTGCCAAGCATGACTCTGGATGCTGGTGATACAGCAGTGTGGCGTGTGTATGGTGTGTGTGGATGGCATGTGTGTAGTGTACGTGTGTGATGTATAGTATGTAGATGGTATCGATGGTGTGTGTGTGTGTGTGTGATGGATAGCATGTGTGTGGTTTGTGGCATGTGGATGGCATGTGTGTATAGTGTATGATGCGTGTGTGTGGTATGTGGTGGGTGGATGGCATGTGTATATGGTGCATGAGTGTGATGTACGTGTGTGGTTTGTGGTGTGTGGATGGTGTGTTTGGGGATGTGTGTAAGGCATGTGTGTGGTGTGTGGTGTGTGTGGTGTTGAGGGGTGTGTGGTACTGGGTGTGTGTGGTATTGCTTGTGGGGTGTGCTGTGTGGATGGCATGTGTGTGTGTGTGCATGTGGTGTGTGCATATTCAGGGTGCCTCCCGCTGAGCACAGTCCCAGCTCCCTGGGAGGGCTGTGTCCTCTGTGGGGCCAGCAGTGAGATTCCCTTCTCCACGTGAGGCTGAGCAGCAGGAAGGAGAGGGGGCCCAGGTCTGGGTGGTGGCTCTGCTGATGGTGGCGGCTGCCAGGCAGGAAGGGAGCGGCAGGGCCGGGTGTCTGGGGCCTGGTTCCTTCCTCCCGGGTCAGCAGCACCATGTGGGAGGCCAGGCAGTGTGCATCCCGGTGTGTGGATTCTCCTCAGTCAACACAGGCCAGGTGGATCGGGGACCAGAGGCCTTTTCTCACAAGCAGCAAGATGGGGATGTGCACCCAAAACCAGCTCAAATGGTTGTCGTAGAACCCTTCGGAAGTGTGGAAAATCAGAGAGAAAAGGATCGAGATCGCCTGTACTTTGACACTCAGAGGGAGTCGTGTGCCACAGCAGGCTCACAGTGTCCTACACGGATGCTCCCTGCCACGGGCCATGTGGCGTGCGGGGTTCTGGCTGTGGCTCTTTCCACAAGACGCTTTTTATTCTGATGGCTCTGGTGGCCCATTGTGTGGGTTTCCCACCATTCACCTGCTAATTCCAGATTCTGCCATGACAAGTCCTCCAATGAACTGTCTGTGGCACAGACTGGCTGGCCCTGCCTGGTGCGCAGGGCTCAGCGGGTCAGTGTCCCCTCAGGCCATGTCCACCAGCGAGGCCCAGCAGTAAGGGCTGAGGTCCGGGTGAGAGAGGCAGCTGGCCCCTAGGTCTTTCATGTGATGGATGTTTACTCCACACCATGCCAGGAGCGAAGATGCAGACACCAGCAAGCCAGAGCATCCCGTAGGGGGTGCCTGAGTCCCAGGCGGGACACAGGGAAACAAGCCTGGACCACAATGTGCTGCAGCAACTGGGGCCAAGGAGGAAATAATCTGAGCAGCGGAGCCAAGTGGCAGGAGCAGGGGTGGCGACCACAGTGTCATGCAGGGGCCACGGCCCAGCCTCTCTGCACGCTGCAGCTCTCAGGTGGGTGCTCACAGCCATGATGGGAGCGAGCAGGCCCAGAGGCGCCTCAGTATGGGTGGGCATGTGTGGTTAGGGCCTGGGAACGCCAGTGTGTGACCCCACAGAAAACTTGATTTTGGGATACATGTTTGTGCTTTTCACAGCCTGCCCTGCCTGTGCGACAGTTTTCTTCCTTACTGGATGAAAAGTTACTTCCATAGTACACGGCAAGCTCTTCGGGGCAGGGCCCGCTGGGCACGGGGAGGAGGGATGGTTCCCGCAGCCTGGATCCCACTGTGCCTCCAGGGAGCGCTGGGCCAGCTGGGCGAGCACTCCCGATATCCACCTGTGTTCCTCTGGTGTCTCAGGCATGAAGGGCTGCTGGGGTGGGTGCTGAGGCCAAGGGCCTGAGTCTGTGCTGTTAAAGCCCCTTCAGGGCCAGAGCCAGGGCTGAGGCTGGGTCTGCTCCATGTCAGGAGGAGTGCAGCCCCTCACAAAAGTTGAACCTTTCCTAGGCTCCTGGGGCCCCTTAGAGGGCTGCACAGCGGGTTGTAGCCATGGCCCGGGCAGCTCCTCTGAGCCTGAGTGCAGCCCCTTCCCTGTCTGTGTCACCTTTCCCTGCAAACCCACCAACCCCATCCCAGGCCCACCTGCCCAGGAAGAAAGACAGACACCTGTGGTGCAGGCCCCAGACTTGAGGAATCTGCTACCACTTCTTGGAACCCAGATACAGTCCTAAGCCTGCTCCACTTGCTCCACCCCAGGACCTTTGCTGGAGTTGCCCTCAGTCCTGGATGCTCTCTCCTCCCTGCGCCCCCCCACAGCCCACTCCTCCACAGCCCATGAGCCCTCCCCTGGTCCCTGCAACCCACACCTGTGCTGGTTGCACCATGGCCACTCTCCTGCTGCCCACACCTGTGGTCCAAAGCCCCTCGGGCACCTGGCATGCCTGTCTCTTTGGGGGCACTGGTTTGAGCCTGCCCCTACCAGAGGGCACAGAGCCTCTGGGACCCTGGCAGAGGGACAAACAGGGCTGAGCAGAGCTCCATGTGGGCGTTGGGCGCTGCCCTCAGAGCACCTGTGGGTGTCTGTGCAGAAAGGCCTGGGAGGAGGTAAGGTGAACGGAGAGACTTTTGGTCTTATTTTCTACGTGTGTTTCTGCATTTTCTGTTGATTTTTCCATGGTGATCACGTATCACTTGTGTCTATAAAGGAAACAATACAACTCTAATAGAGGGGATGCTGCATCTAATAATGGAGACGCAGCCATGAGGCCAAGGTAAGGCCCCAAGTGAAACAAATGAGCAAAAAGAGTTCTACAGCTTCCAGGTGAGCAGTCACATGTGTTTCTTAGTAGTTGTGTCTCCTACTGATTGCACCCTATAGTCCCCAAAGGTGGGAAGTGGGGCGGGAGAGAGGTAGGCCAACTCAGGCCACAGGTGGGCTGGCACCCGCCCTGCCCCAGCTCCTCCCTCCCGGGAGCCGCAGACAGGCCCCCAGGGCCGTGCATCAGGCCACACCTGCAGAGACCTGCTTCCCCTGGCAGCAGGCGCCTCCCCGACGGCAGACTTAGGAATGGGTTGGGTTGGGTGGAAGTGGCGCCCCAGGGCAGGTGAGATGGAAGAGGTGGAAGAGACCTGCACTGCAGGGTTAATAGACAGGGCGCCAGACAGACCAGGAGCCTAGAGAGGAGATGCCACCAGGACCCAGGACACATGAACACCCCCGACACACACATGCACGCATACTGACACACATGCACACACTGTACATAGTTACAGAAACATACACATGCACAGACACAGCACACAGAGACACGCAGACACATGCACACAAGATACAGTCACAGACACACACACAGCAGACACTCAGACACGCCCACTGCACTGCAGAGACACCACCAGATCCTGACATACACCACACAGACTCACTCCTCCGTCCACCTAAGAAACAAAAGTTTTGCAGAAGAGTGTGCAATGACCACTTCTACTCTATGCTGTTCTCCTTAATCTTTTTATTTTTTAAAAAATGGCGGTCATAATCCTTTAAATTGATTTCCTTCCTCACAGTGGACCACAAGCACTCAGAGAAGGACTCCAGGTTTGAAGGCAGATGCTGGTAGGGACCTGGCCAGGTGGATGGGTGGGAAGGGGTGAGACCGGGCAGGACTGGGCCTGGGAAGGCTGAGGCAGGCAGGGATGATGCCAGCAGAGGAGAATCCCAAGCAGGCTGTGCAGCTGCGGCTAGAAAGCCACAGGAGTGGAGAGGAGGTGGGAGGCAGTGGTCAGGTTGGGAGGACCCTGGCAAGCAAACCTAGAGAGGAGGGCCCAGAGGGCGGGCACTAGAAGTGTGAAGTCACTGCTTCCTCCTGGGGCTGCTTCAGAGGATGGGTGGGGTCACGTGTGGGTAGACCAGGGAGACAGGAGACTGTGCTGCTTGGTCTAGACATAGGAGATGAGCCCTGGCCGGGAAGGGACAGTGTGGATGGGCCAAGGTGGAATCAGGGTTTTAGAGAAAGCTGTCAAGTCAGTGCCATGAGTTTTGCGCACACCAGGAGGGACAGGTGCGTGGTAGGGGGTTGCTGGTGTGAGTGAAGGCTCTCTGGTTGCAGGGAGCGGTCCGGTGGGGTGGGGGCACAGCTGCCGGGAGGAAGGCGCTCAGGGCCCGCAGGTGGGGCTCAGGATGCTGGCCCTGCAGAAATGGAAACAGGGTCTTCACCTGAGAGGGAGGAGGAGCCTGGGAACTGGGGAGGAAGGAGCTCTGCTGGGCCGGGTCCTCGGGACAGGGGGACCTGGGGACAGAGCTGGCCCTCGCACGCCCCTCCTGTCTCGCGTCCCTCCGTGCAGCCGGGACAGGATCCTGCAGGGGCTTTGCGGGGCAGGAGGTGCAGGCTTCCTCCTCCATCCTGTCCCCCCGCCCCCGCGGTTAATGTCTTTATTCAAATCTCCCTCCTTCCCGCTGCCCCACCGGCCTCAGGGGCTGGGGTCGTGGACCGGCGGGCAGCGGTGGTCACCTTCCGCATAAACCTGGGCTTCCTCGCAGGGCGGCCCCCGGACCCTACGCTGGGTCTCAGCCTCGGGCAGCTCCCTCGGGGCGGAGCGCGTCCCTGTCCGCCCTCGCCCGTCCCCGCGGCCCCCGGGTCCCAGCCCGCCCCGTCCTCGCAGCCGCAGGCCCGCGGCGGCGCCTGCCCCCCTCTCCCCTCCCCTGGCCTGGCCCGGCTGTCGCTCCGCCCCCCGCCCGTCCCCGCCCCGCGCCCGCCCCCTGCCCGGCCTCTCCGCGGCGGCGGCTGGAGCGCGGCGGTCCGAGCGGGTGCACCGCGGCGGAGGAGGCAGCATCCCGCGGCGCTGAGGCTCCCGGGGAGAGCATGGCGCCGAGGTGTGGCTGGGGCTGCGGGCAGGGGTCGGGGGGCGCCGAGGTGCGGCTGGGGCTGCGGGCAGGGGTCGGGGGGCGCCGAGGTGCGGCTGCGGACGGGCGGCGGATGGCGGGGGCTGCGGAGTCGGCGGGGGCCCACGGGGGTCGGCGGAGGTCTGCGGGGCCCTGACCCGTGCCTGTCCCGCGCAGGTGTCCCTGGCTGTGGCCGCGGCGGCGGCGCCTCCTGGACGTGCGTGCGCCCCTGCTCCTGCTGCTCTGGGTCTGCGCGGCCTCCGTGGAGCCAGGTAAGACCCGGGCTGGACGGGAAGGTTCACGCCGGTCCCCGCCGGCCTCGCCGCCCTGGCTGGGGTCCCCGCCCGGCTCGCTCACCCCCGCCCCAGCCGCTCTGGGTTCAGCCCCGGCCCTGCCCACGCGCGCAGGAGGCGCCAGAGCCGGACGGAGCGGGCGGGGCGGGGTTGCCGGAGTCCCGCCCATTCATTTTCCCCGCGGGGTCCGGGCCGGGCGGGGTGCGCGGTGCGAGCGGCCGGAGTCCACGCGCGGTGACCCAACCTCCGCGGCCGGCGGGGGCGTCGGTGCCGGGAGGGCTCGGGGCGGGGCCGCGGGGTCTCGGGAGACGCGGCCTGTGTCGCGGTCACGGCCTCGTCCCCGCAGCGCCGGGTCCCGGGACTGACCGCGGGCGGAAGGCGGTGGAGCGCGGGGCGTTGTCTCCGCGTTTCCAACCTGTTGAAGCGAAGCCGCGCGGGCTCCCAGGCTCCTCGCCGCGGGCCGGGCCTTGTGCGCCTCTGTCCCCGCGTCCGCCGCGGTGTCGGGTTGCGCGGTCCCCTTTGATGCCACCGAGCGCCGCGCGGCCCGAGAACAATGCCCAGAAGCCGCTGCCCTGCTGGCCTCGCCGCTTCCCATGCGCGGCAAACTGTGCGCGGGGCCCGTCGGGACCTTCCTGCCGCCAACCCCAGGACCCAGTTCCCCACCACGCTGCTGGCCGGGTCCTCCTGCCTCCAGCCAGCCCAGCAGAGGCCCGGGGGAGGCGGCGGGGACGCTGACCCCGGGGAGCCCCGCCCAAAGGGCCTGGGTGCCTTGTCGCGGGTGGAATCTCACCCAGGGGTCCACGCAGCCAGCCCCTGCCTCCGACTCGACTCCCCACCTGCTTGCTACAGCGGGTGAGGAAGCAGGAAAAGGGGAGGGAGAGAGGGATGTCGTCTGGATTCTTGTAATAATTTGTTTCATTGTTTCCAATCGACTTAGTCATCACGTTACATAGTAGCATAGACCTTTCAAAACCGTAGCTACCTTATAAGTAGATGTACTGAAAACACCTGCGTGTTGAGTCGTAGACAATTCCTCATTTACTGTGTGAACTGCAGGGGGTGAAACACTGGCGGAGAAAGGCCCTGCGAGCTCAGGCAGCTCCTTCCCTACCGCGGCCCAGGGTCACTCGGGGCCATTAATCAGTCTGCAGGGCCACCAGCCCCACAGGGCCCAGACCAGGGCTCCCTGGGCGGGATGTTTAAAATCGCACAGGGACAAAGGAAAGGAAAGACGCTGGGGCCCAAGCCCGGAGCTTATGAAATGTTATCAAGGAGGAGATGTAAAAGGTGATGGATTTTGCCTTTTGATAGAAAAAACAAAAACTGTTATGCGAACTTTGGTGAGATGCAATCTTGAGATCTAAGAGTGGGGTGTAAAGTCAGTGCAGACCTCAGCTGGGAAAGTTACTGTTCACCCAATGGGCTGTGCGTTCCTCTTCTGTCCTGGGCCTGCCCCAGCCTCAAGCGCTCTGGGGCAGGAAGGCCCCTTGGAGGTGTCTAATGGAATGTGGAAGGCGGGTGTCCTGGAGGCTGAAGCGGAAGCAGGCCCAGAGAGGGGCCTGGATGCTGCCCACACACCCCTCCCCCAACCCGGAGAGAACTCAGGCTCCAGGCCACCTGCAGCCCAGGTTCCAGTCCCTGCAGGACCAAGTCCCAGTGAAATGGGAAAACAGTCGCCCCCTTTAGGGGTTATTGGAGAAGAGCTAATGTGTCTGAAATGCTGACTCTGGCAAGGGTTTGAGTTGTTCTCAAAAGTTAAAAAGCACCCCTGAGAGTTGAAGGCCTGAGGCCCGGTTTGCTGATTTGCACATTTTTTTTTTTTCTGGCCAAGAATGATGCATCTTTCTGTGTCTCTGTGCTACGCTTGACCCCTAGAAAAGTCTTTTGCTTTTTCGTGTTAGGATTGGTCACTGTGATGCTGAGGTTCTTGAATGGTGTTTGTGCCGTTCCCTGTAATCAGGAACCTCGAGGCTCGGTGATCACTTGACCAACTGATTGCCACCCAGCAATCAGGTGCTGCAGTCTTACCTGCAGTTTCTTCTCTGGTGAATTCGCGTGTGCGACATGGCCACGGCCCCCGGGAGGTGCTTGTAGTCAGTGCTTCAGAGTCAGAATGGGGCTGAGGAAGAGGGGCAGTTGCTGATGCCCATGGCCACACCAGGAGCCTGGTCTCATGAGTCGCCTTGTCTCTGAGCCTCTCCCACACTCCACCACTGCATCAAGCTCTCCCCTCACCCCCCTGCAGCCCCCAGAAGGTGCATATCCTGCCCCTGCTCACCAGTAGGACCTCCTCCTGTTTGGTTGTGAGCACAGAGCCCAGTGGTGTGGATACAAGGCAGGGTCCCTGCACCTCACTCCCCATTCCCTCTGAAGCCCTACGGGGATTGGGCCTCAGTGACCTGGCTTCCATGGGTGTGGCTCACCCCAGGGCACACAGCACCTAGGTAACGGGAGAGACCCTCCTGTAGAAGGTGGTCTCATTCCTCAGCTCACCCACTGGGGAGTCTTCAGGATTCAGATGCAGGGACTTTGGAAGATAGTTTTGAATTTCAGCAAAACTTGTTTTTCAGGGTACTCCTGTTTTCCTATAAATGAAAGCAGAGCGGGGGAAGTCCTCTGCAGGAAAACCTAGAAGGAGAGAACTGCCCTGCTCCAGAGTGCAGGCGCCAGACACTGGGGGCCAGTCCGGGAGAGCCCCACCTCACCCACTGATGCTCCATTTAAAAGTGCAAGGTGCATGCATACATAGGCACGCACAATTGTGCACACAGGTGCACATTCCCAGTCACACACAAGTGCGGGGGCACACCTGTGTACACGCACATACACACGCCCCCTGCACATGTGTGATTCTCACGTAGTCAGGCTGCATCCACACAAACTCTTTCTCCCTCAGAGTGCCTTGTTCTGTCTTCACCTGGACTGTTGAAAAGGCTGGGTTCTCGGCCCTGGGAGTACCGGGGGAACCTGTGATATGAGCAATAGCACCACTGCCCTGGGAGCAGCTCCTGATTGCTAAGGACGGACAGTAGGGGATGGGCTGGATTGGGGTAGAAGCTGCAGCCTGCAGGCAGCCCAGAGAGAGGGGCCCCCACAACACCCTCCCCGCCCCTCCCCCCATTGTGTGGGGGCAGGGGATATGCAGGCAGCCCAGAGAGAGGGGCCACCACAACACCCTCCCCGCCCTCCCTCACTGTGTGGGGGGAGGGGTGCCTGCTTCTGCTCAGGAAGGAGACCCTCCTGGGTCTGGCTGTGGAGCGGATATTGGAGACCCCAGTCCCCGCTGGAACTCTAGGTGAAGCCCAGGGATCCACAGAACCTCACAGCTGTGGGGGATGGGGTGGGGTGACACCTGAAACCTCCAGCAAGTGTCTTCCTCTCTCAGCCCCAGGCCTGCAGAGGAGGGTGTGCCAGCCAACGGGGCTTTGTGCCCGGCACTGGCTCCCCACCAGTGCTCAGGGGTCAGGTGCAGAGGCTGGCGGGGAGAAAGCTGGCTATGGCTGAGAACAGCCCCCAGGCTGGGGCTGTGTCTGGAGGGGCTGGCCATGGCCCTCACCCCACCCCCGGCATGGGGCACTGGACCATGTGGAGAAGGGGCCACCCCAGTGCCTGCCAGGACCAGTCAGAGCTGCCACCTTCCGGGCTGTCTGTTAGCGGGTGCCTGTCAGAGAACAAGATGATAGGCCTGGCCGGGCCAAACTCCATGGCGAGATTTCAGTGGCCGGCCAGCGGTGGACAGCACAGGGCCTGAGACAGATGTTCCCTTATGTGGTGCTGTGCAGGGCAGGGGCAGAATCCTGGGAAACTAAATACATGTTGGGTGCCCTTATACGATGATGACATTTGGTACATTTTGAAATACTGTGGCCCATGAAGATCCTGAAAGCAGTTCGGGGCACTGGGGGGTGCTCTGTGGCCTCTGGGCTCGGGTTGCTTCTCTCATCTGAGGCCTCTCAGGCCTGGGAGTTTGGGGTCTGGGGCTCTTTTTGAGGCCCAGACACCTGCCCAGAATGACTGGGCCGCTGAGCCCCGCCTCCTGGGAGCCTTGCCAGGGCCAGCACTGGGCAGTCACAGGCCAGAGCCCAGCACCAGGCGGTCACAGGCAAGGACCTGTCCAAGGCAGCAGAGTGCCAGGCAAGTGAAGCCCTGCCATCTGGTGCCTGAGCGCAGACCCTTTTCCACGGCCAGTGGCTGTCACCAGCCTTGCTGCCTCAGTTCCCCCTCCTTAACCCCGGGGCGGGAGTGGCTGCTTCTTCGAGGGGTTCTATGAGCGGCCGCTGGCAACTGTGTAAAAGCCACATACCACAGACTGTGTCTTTGTGCCAGACCCTGTGCCACGTGAGGAGACAGCCAGCCCAGGCAGGGAGCTGATCTGTGTTGTCCCCTGGCGCTGCCCAGGGCCACAGAGAATGAGGGAGCGGCGCTTACCGGCCCTGGCGGTGATGTTTGAGATGGCAGGCTTTGCAGAAGGGCTGTCAGGGGGAGCTTTTGCTCTCGGATGCGCTGAGTCAGATGAAATGTGGAGGCTGCAGGGGAAGTGTCTGTGCCCCATGCCTGCAGGAGCATGCCTTCCCACCACAGCTCCTCCGGCACAGGCAAGCCCCGGCAGGGCTGTTCTGGCTTCTTCCACAAGAGCTGGGGAAAGGGGAACTATTCTCAAGCCCTTGCATCTTTCTGGCACTTTCTGGCATTTCACGCTGGCAGACAGGGTCGCCTCGCCACCTCGGGGCTGATCCCCTGTGGGGCCCCTCGTTCCCACCGGCGCTGTGTGATGGGCAGGGCAGGGCAGGCACCAGCACCAGGCTGGATGGTGGTTTGGCTGTCACTACGCCGGCTTCCAGAAGGCCAGCAGGGCTGCGAGTGGGCACACGCTGGTGCTGGGCGCCAGGCACTGACTGGGGGTGAGGGCTGACCCTGCGGGAAGTGCCCGTGGACGGACACTGGGGTTGAAGGCTGACCCTGGGGGGAGTGCCCGTGGA